CAACTTCATCCCATCTTCTGCCCGCCCTTCCACCCCTCCCTCCCTTTGTCCCACCATCCTTCCCTCCATCTGGGGTACTCTGGGGAGGGAGGGATGGCGAGGTGCAGCCCAGCTCCAGCTCTCCAGCATGCAGCCACCGTGGTGGGGTGGCTTCCCCACAGGGATGGGGGGCAGCCGGGGCTGGGACAAGATAGGTCCTGCCCGCTCAATACCACCGTGTGGGAGCAGCTCTCCTGGCCGGGGCCGCGGTGAGCTCCAGGGCCGGGCCGTGACAGCGAACACCACCAGAGCTCCAGGGAAGGGCAGCTGTGCCGGCCAGAGGACACCGTGCTGGGCTGGGGGAGGCAGCAGCACCGAGCGGGTTTTGGCGGGGGAATCCCTAAGTCCCCATGGCCTCGGTCCAGCCTGGGCTGAGCCAGCAACGCAGGACAAAGCGGGGCAGGATTGTAGCCAAAAGAGTTTAATGAGAAAGGCCCCAGGAGTCTGTGTGCAGGAGCAGGAGCAACGTTTCTGGCAGAGTGCGGTGGTCCTGGCGCTGCCCCTTGCCCACAGGGGGCTGGTATTGGCTTGGGGGTGCGCTGGCCCTGGGCAGCAGCTACGTGTAGAGCCGGACGGTGCCGTCAGCGCCGGAAGAGAAGACCCAGGGCTGGGTGGGGTGGAAGAGCACATCGAGGACGCCCAGGTCCAATGTCAGCACATGGCCCTTCAGCACCTTCACGGGCACCAGCAGTGGGTTCTGCAGCAGGTCGCTGTGGCGGAGGAGACAGGTCAATGCAGGGCTTTGGCTCCCTCCCTCCAACCTCCCTGGGGTACCCCCCTGAGTCACCCCACAACTGCTGCCACCCCCCCCCCCACGTTTTTTTTCCAAGGGGCAGGCAGCACGGCTCCCTCCGTGCCTGGCAGCTCCTCTAGGGCTCTGCCATGCCACAGCTTGCCGGAGGAGAGGAGAGCCGACACCAAACCCCCATGGCTTCCCCCCCCCCCCGTACTTGTAGACCATGCCGTGGCAAACGATGACGGTCCCGTCGTCCGAGCCCGAGGCGAAGAGCGGGTAGTGCTTGTGGAAGGCCACGCTCCGCAGCGCTTTCTTGTGGTGCCTGCAAAGACAGGGGGTGCGATGTCAGCCAAAGGGGTGGACCCTCTGCCCCTGTCCCGACCCTTGCCCGGCGCGCCTGGGTCTGCGCACGGCCAGGCTTTACAGAGCCCAAGCTCTGCTGTGAATGACTGTAGGTATGGGAGGGGAGAGGGCAACTGGGACAGACTGGGACCTGCTGCAGGCAGCTCAACCCAGCCCAGCACCTACTGCCATAGAGGCTTTGCCCCATCCTGAGCCCCAGGAGAGCTGTGGTCCCCGTTCCCCACTCTGGCACATGAGAGCCGTGAGACATCAACACGCTGGGCAGGGATGGCTGCTTCTGGCACAGCCCCGATGGGCTCCATCCTGCTGCCAGGTCCCAGGAGAGGGAACAGCCCCGGGAAGGGGCCCCATGGGGTTTGGGGGGGCTGCGGGCAGGTTAATGGGGAGCAGGCAGAGGCTAGCTGTGGCCCCAGGGCTCACCGTAGCAGCTGGTAGGGTCTGGTGGAAAGGTCCAGGTCAAACCAGGCCAGCTTGCTGTCATAGCTGCCGCAGATGATGTTGTCACCTGTGAGAGGGAACAGGGTATTACTGGGGTTGCCAGCAAACCCCAGGGTGTCCTGCCAGCACCCAGAGCCCTGCTTGCACCCCAGGCAGCCTGGCTGAGTGGGACACTCGTACCGGCTTGCAAGACCTGGCAGCTCCCCGGGAAGCACGCAGGCCACATACCTCCAGGGTGGATGGCCATGCTGGACACCCACTTGCAGTTCGTCATCAGCTTCTTGGTGAGCTCTTGCTTGAGGAGGTTGTAGACGCGGACGTAGCGCTGGGTGGCCACGAAGAAGTAGGGCCGGATGGGGTGGAAGAGCACGCACTGCACCAGCCCCTTGCTCTTGCGGAAGGGGTTCTGACTCCAGCGTTTGCTGGTCTGGTGAATCAGCACTTGCATGTTGCTGTTGTCAGAGACGACGCTGGCGAAGTAGTCGCCTTTGCCGTGCCAGGTCACCTGCTTCACAGCCTGCGGAGAGCGGGGAGGGGGACAGCCACGGGTCAGACCCACCGGCGGGACTGCCCCACGCCTCCCCAGGGAGCAGCCCCCTGACCAGGCTGGCTCCCATGGGACCTCCCCATCCCTACCTTGCTGTGCTGGATGACCAGCCGGACGCCTTTGCTGTGCTCCTCCATGGTGGCCATCACCCACTGCACAGGCTGGACCCGCTCCTCCTCCGGCGCCACGTAGGACTCGAGCAGCTGGTCGGTGGCCCCATAGAGCAGCTTGTCCCCGAGGCAGGGGTTCACCAGCAGCACCGACTGCTCCCTGCAGCGTGGGGCGAGTGTATGGGTCAGGGCACCGCCAGGGAGAGGAAACCCCTCTGCAAGCCCCGTGCCGCCACGGGATGGCCCCAGCACAGGGCCAGGGCCACAGGGAGGGACGTGTGGGACTCTGCGAGCAGTCAGGCCCTTCCGTAGGCCAGCAAGGACAGAAGAGGGAGGATACGGGGGAGCTCTGTCATAGCCTGAATGCCCCAGGGAGGATGGCAGAGACCGAGTGGTTCCTCCACAGAAGAATGAGGGCCACCAAACGAAGTGGGAGGCAGGGTCACAGCGAGCAGAGGTGGCTTTGCACACCGCAGTGTGGCCATCCTCGCTGCTGGGGGTGCCGTGAGTTTACAGGTGCTCCTTGGAGGCTGGACAGGCTTTGGGAGAGGAAATCCAGCAACCACTCCAGCTCAGGGAGCTCCTGGCTGGAGGATGATGAAGGCCACGCTGGGACACTCACACGCAGATGGCCACCAGGCAGATGGTGGGGTTGGGGTTCCAGGCAACGCTTTTCACCACACCGCCCACAGGCAGGGTCTTCATGCAGCGAGCTGTGCACACCTCCCAGAACCGCACCGTGCAGTCATCGGAGCCTGTGGGACAGGATGGGGTGGGCCAGGGCCAGGGCCAGGGCCAGGCACGG